AACTAAAGTAGAACTTTACTTTGTTATATCAATGTCACACATATATCACACATTTCAATGTCATTCTCTCTCAACACACACACACACACACACAAGTACTCGGGTATAATAGCCACACATGAGAGAATATCATGAAAACTTTTTTAAAGATAAAAAAAAAACATGACTTTAAACAGTAAGGGCCTTTCAAATAGTAACACAAATATCCAAGGCTGTAAGGGTAAAGACTGACTGACTTGCCTAGATTGAACTATAACACATTTTCTCAAACATAACAAATTATAAGACATATGACCTAATAATAAAACATGTTAAATGCCAAAGGGAAAGGTAAAAAATACTCAACTTGTTGTTTACAGATTAGTAAAAATAAAGCATTTGAAAATATCAAGTTCAGTAAAGGTAGAAATAAATAGGAACTTCCATGCAATTTTGGTGAGAGGGAAAACCAAGGAACTTTTTGTAGAGAGCAGTTGAGAATATTCAGAGATATTTAAAAAGGGTTATGTTTTTCTCTAATGATATACTACCTAAAATTTATCTTGGAACCAATGAATTAGCTCCAGGCAAGTTATTCCTCAATTATAACTTACACAGTCATAAAAATACAGAATAGAAATGCTTGCTGTGACAATTTTAATGTCTGAAGGTTCCACATTAACAGGAAGGGTGAACTAAATCATATCACATATAGCATGGGACACAATCAATTTATCTTAATGAATTAGATTTGTATGTACTGTTAAACCAAACTCAAACTACACATAAAATAAAATCCAAGGCACAAAACAAGTAAAATAATAACACTCAAATAAATAGCATGCATTAATATCCAAGGCTGACACTAAATTGATACTGACATCAGAGAATTTCTTTAAATCACTTGTAGTTATTCTATCACTCCATTTTTATCTTTCTTTGTTACTTTTCAAATGATGTGACTTTTTCACTTAGATATAAAATTTATTTTGATTTTGATTTTTTCATTAGCATCATAGAATTATAGAAACAAAAACTGAGGCTAGATGACTTTGTGAAGCCCTGAGAAAATATCTGCATGATGTCATTTTTTTTCTTGAGACACTGTAAGATAATGCCCATGCTAGCCTCAAACTCATAATCCTCCCTCCTCTACCTCCTGAGTACTAAGACTATAGGCATGTGCTACTATAGGCAGCTCCTGTTGATATCTATTTTTTTTCTATTGTGTAAGGCTTGAAAGAGAGCGATGAATATGATTTGGGAACCTTCGACTGTGATTTCAAATATTACGTAAAGAACATGACAGCACATAACATAGAATGGTAAGAAAGTGCATCACACTCTGTTCTCCTACACATCAGGCATGATTTTCCACATGACTAAGCCTTGGTCAGTATCCAGTTGGCTCACTATCTACTCTGAACTCCAGGGAAGGCATTGCTTACATAACTCCCAGGACCTCACCTTCAAATATTTTCTCAAAGGAATGTATTTGGTTCAGAAGGGAGACCTTGGAGAATTGGAGCAAGTGCTTTGAGTTAAGGAAAGCAGAAAGTATAAAGCCAGACTGAAAGGATGGTTAGTGCTGCTGGGGTTAGGATGAATGGCTCATGAGCCAACCCATGAATGATGCTGTCCTTCAAGTGTGGTACTACAGAGTACGGCGATTTCTGCCTCCTGTTAAACCCATGCTTCCTTCACTCATGACTCCCACAGCTGTGGTCCTTCCTGTGCCTGCCTTGAAGTAAGAGGGGGAAGCTGGTGGTAGGTAGAAAAGATGATAAAGTATTGGCCAGGGGATAGTTTACCATCTCTGTGACTAGAAGATGGTCAAGGGCAGACATTACAGCTGAATCATATTTATTCAGAACAAATTTGATCATACACATGGTATATAATAATCTGTAATAAGCATCCAACATGTTTCTTGAACTGATTGACATGAGCCAAAGTTTCAGGAGAGACAGAGCAGGAATTTCAAGTCAGAGATGAACGTTAGTTGGTAGATGACAGAGACTCTCACTGACTCTGGATTGTATTAGAAGGCAGAAACCCTAAGTCCCTGATTGCTGTATGCATGTATGTATGAATGAATGTATGTGTGTATTCATTTATTTATATAGTATTGTTTTGCTGGTTTACATTAGGTATACAGATTAGGATTTCATTGTTTAAAATATATTCAAATTGATCACACCCTCTCATTCATTCTCCTCTGCCTTTAAAAATTATATTCTCCATGTAAATGTGAGGAGTCAACACATTGAAATTAGCTATTTAAATGTAAGTAGTGTAAAGATATAATTTTTCTCAAGTCCTTGGTCCTCTTCTATTAATCTAGTAATTCTTTGTAAGAAGTTGTTTAGGATAAGTAATTCTTGAAATGCAGAGTTTCTCAGTAACCTTGTGGATTAACAAGAAATGTATCTTCTGTTGATTGTTTTGAATGTTTATATTATGTACCATATTTTGAGAAACATTGTTCAGAAATAACCTAAGGGGCTGGGAAGGTGGCTCAGTGGTAGAGCGCTTGCCATGCCTGCCTGAGGCCCTGGGTTCAATTCCTCAGCACCACATAAGCAAAAAGAAAAAAGCCAGAAGTGGAGCTGTGGCTCAAGTGGTAGAGCATTAGCCTTGAGCTGAAGAGCTGAGGGACAGTGCCCAGGCCCAGAGTTCAGGCCCAAGACTAGACCCAAAAAAAAAAAAAGAAAGAAAGAACCTAAGATATCAAATGATTTAGAATTAAAACCCACAAACAATTCCTAATGGGAAACATTGAACAATTATAAGATTTATTCAGGGAAAAAAATCTAAAATATATGAAAAAATGTGGTGGGTAGAAGGCTGGGGATATTTGACTTATCCAATACTAACATATATTATTAAAGTACTAAGTGTATGTATATTATACTAATACAGGTGTCAATGTCTCAGAGAAGTTATATACAAAATTCAAAATCAAACTCAAGAATGTAAGTGGAATAAATGACATAGGTGCCATCTAAACCAATAGAGGAAAAGTATGTTTGAAAAACTGTTAGCTTCAAGCTTGGTGGCATACTCCTGTAATCCTAATCCTCAAAAGACTGAGG